CAGGCCGGCTCACACAGTGCTGGCCACTCAGGCACTGGAGTGCCTCCACTCCCCCAGTTCAGCACCCTGTCCCTGGGTGTCTGCTCTTTCAGAATGCCCTGACTCCTGGGGTGAGCACCCCAGAGCCTTGCAGGGGGCACCTGACTTGGGTGGGGCCCAGACACTCCCTCATCCCAAGACCCTCAAAGACCTGCTGTGCCTCACCTCCTTCCAGATAAAAATGTAGGACCCCTGGTCAACTCAAAATTTCAGATATAAAAAAATGTTTTTTAGTATAAGTATGTCCCAAATAGTGCATGGGTTACACTTATACTAAAAATTGTTCATTATTTCCCTGAAATTCCAAATTAATAGGCAGTCTATATTTCTGTCTGCTTATCTGGCAGCCCCACCCTGAGGCTTCAGTGAGCAGAGTGGATGGTTTCTGTTCCCAGCTGGGAACTGGAAGGAGGCCTGAGGCCCAGGCACCACCTTTTCTTGTCCCCGGTGCCACCCAGCACAGCCCTGAGGGGACCCAGGAGGCAGGGTGTTGGGGCCAAGGTGGGGTGGGGTGGGGATGCAGGGCAGCCTATCTGGGAGGTTGGCAGGGCAGAGCAGACACGCTGCACGGACAGCTGAGGAAGACGTATCATCAGGGGCTCACTGTCCAGCTTGCTGTCCAGGCAGGGCAGCCCCAAATTTTGGCTGGCCCTTGGGCTGGGTGATATCAGACACGCACGGGGCTGGAATGAAGCATCTGTCCTGGGGGCGGCCTGGCTGGGCAGGAGTACAGGCCTGATGCACGGCCCTGCTGCCTGCCCTAAGGGCCCTTCCCTGTGGAGCCTGATCCCCAAGTCCAAGGGGCGTGAGTGGCTCAGAGGGGCCGAGACGGAGCGGCCGCCCACAGCAAGCCCAGGACCCGAGCCCCCTGCTAGCTCCCCAGGGGCTTGGGGCTTGGACCCGTGCTGTGCAGCAGTTGACCCAGGCCCGGCCTCCACTCCCAGCCGCTGGCACTGCGAGGCTGCAGACTTAGGACTGTAGCCAGACACCCTCACCTGTCAGTGACACGTGTCCCCTCTTGCAGTCTTCTCCCAAATTTGCTGGGCATCTCCTGTCTTCCCACCTGGGGCAGGAATGTGACAAACATCAGAGGAAGCCACCGTCCTGCCTGAAAACACATGGGGAGGCAGGGCTGTGGGTGGGCAGTGCCAGCTAAACACAGTCTGGGCAGGAGCTGCTAGGGTGGGCTCCATGTGGCCAGGGCTGGACCAGAGGGACCACGCGGCTGGTGGGTCTGCAGCCCTGAGGGATGACGGAGTGAGGCCTGTGTGGGCTCTGGCCAGCCCCGGGGTGGACAGGAGTGCCTGGGACACAGCAGTGTGGTGACTGTACTTGGTGATGGAGATGCCTCCAGGCCCGGGCTCCGGCAGGTGCCCACAAATCCTGATGGAAGTGGCCCCCCTGCCAAGGCAGGGGACCCTCAAGGTAGCCTGACCCACAGGGCCTCAGCCACACGCCCCAGGGTCCGCGTGCTGCTCCTAGGGGGCTTGTTTCTGCTTCCTGCTGGCTAAACTGATGGGCGTGTGTCCCCACCCCGCCAGATCTTTGTCAAGAAAATGCTTTGCCTTAAAAAAAAAACAAAAACACGAAATATCACAAAGCAAAGCAAATTTTCCAGAGGCCTGGAAAATTTAAAAGAAAATACATCTGAACACCCTGTACAGCTTAATTAAACAATTTTAATGCCAATTTTCAAATCGTCCTATGCTTCGTCTCTCTTTAACATTCCTTTCTAGCAATGTGAATGTATCACTGTTTCATTGTCTTTAACGCTACCTTCTAATCTCGTATCAATGTATCATCTGCTGTTCATTTCCCTCCTGGAGGCCGAGGCTACCCGCGTGGGAGCACACCCCATGCCCACCCATCAGGTGCCACGCACGCAAGTCAGTGAGCCCAGGGGGCGCAGAGCCCTTTCGAGACAATCTCGGCAGGTTCCCAGATGGAGGGAGGAGGACTCCTTCCCAGACCTTGAGGTGGAAAATGCACCCCCCCAGCCCCCACCCTGGTGTCTGTGTGGCTGCCCCCCAGTCTGTAAATGGGCCATGGGATGCCTGAAGGCAATAGGCTTTGTCAGGTTACAGATGCTGTCTTTAAAAAATAATGTCTATTTAAAAATCCATGTTCCTGCCCCTGGTGGAGACGTCTCTAAGACAGCATGACAGAGAAAGCAAAGTCAGCCAGCGGCATTCAGGACACACAGCCTGCCTCCCCCAGGGGGTTTGCCTGGAGGACCCCCCTGCCCTTCCCCCTCAGCACTCTACTGGCAGGCCTACTGCCCAAATGCTGTAGGCTCTGGTTCTTCCCAATCCTCAGCCCTCTTCTGCCTGCCACAGGGCCTTTGCACAGCCTGCTGGAAGAACCCCTAATACTCTGTAGCTGCTTCTTGTCTTCATGGAGGGTATATAGGACCCCCGTCTTGGCTCTCCAAGTCACGACACAGTTTGTACATCTTTTCTTCCTCTATCTACGATGTCTGTGGCTGCCTCCCTGCTGAAATGAAGCTCCAGGGAGCAAGGACAGGGCCTGCCCTAGTCACCGCTGCTGCGCCCCCAGTTCTATCCAGGGCCTGGCACACTGTCAACCTCCCAGTAGTTTCTGTCCAGCAAATCACTAACAGCCCCCAGGTAAAATCAGTCTTGAGCTTCACTCCAACAATGAGTGTGAAAAGGATCAGGGGGTCCAGGGAGCCCCTGCCCAGGATCCCGCTGTGCCCTCTGTGGCTGCTGGTCCTGTACGCTTCTCTGCAGGGCTGAGTTCTAGACCCTGGGCTCTCCTTGCTTTTTCCTCTCATTGGCTGGGAACCAAATTGCTCTTTGAGGGCCTTAATTACTGGCCATGGCCCTCCACCATTAAGTAGAACATTAAAATAGAATAAATGTTTTCCTTTTCTTGAGAAGTTCACATATACAAGAGGAGGTGGTGCTGAGCGGTGAGTGGCCCGCACCGGACACCACCCAGGACCTGCAAGAGCTGCCCTGCAGGCCCTACACCACCTTCCTCTGCCCTGAGTGTGGGCCCTTCCCGGGCTGCTACCTACGGGCCTTCCCTTCCAGGTGCCATACGGCGATTGCCTCCTGCAGCTCTCTCCCAGAGCCAGTGCAGGTGGGGAAGCCCCCGCCGGCAGTGACCTTGCCAGAGCCCTTCCGGGTCCTGGGGTCCCCAAGAGGGCCCTAGCCCCTGCCCAGACCAGCAGCTGGAGAGGCCTCAGGCCCCTGGGGCCAACTGAGGGCCAGCCAACCTGCTTTGTCCACAGGAGGGGTGGGCTCTCCTGCACCCTGAGGTCGGGTGGCAGGAGCCAGGGAGAGCCCTCCCGGGCTGGCTGGGCTGTGGGGAAGGTGTGCACCCAGGGCCAATTCCACACACAGCAGACTGGTGGTCCTGGGGAAGTGAAAAGCGGGCAGAGCCTGGGAGTCTCAGGGCCATGGGGGGACAGGGGTGGACTGGAGTCCGGAACTGGGCCCCAGGCCCCTCCCTGGGACACGCCCACCCATCCCTGCAGTGAGCAGCTGGGGGGTCCAGGTGGGAGGTCCTTCTGCGGGCTTCTCAGCCTGGTACCGGCCCTGAGGTTCCAGCTGGCCCGTTAAGGGAGTGCGCCCGTCTGTACTCCTCCGTGAAGGGACCCCTGGAGCCGAGGAGCTTCACTGACCTGCCTCCAGGAATCTGACCACTGTGCTTATAGAGTGAGTCGGGGGCTACAGTAGGGCCTGCCCCTGCCCCAGGATCCCACAGATCTCCGCCCAGTAGGGGCTGGGAGCCGGACAAGCTCGACGAAGGTGCCGTGTGTGTGCGTGCGCGCGGTGTACCGGGAACCTGCGGATGTAGGCGCACCCAGCATCCCACCCATGCACACAGCCGCACATCACACGCGCGCGGTCACACCCAGGACACACACGCGCGGGGGAGGGATATGCGGCCTCGCGGCCTCAGCCGCCCACGCGTGCCCGCCCCCGCCCCGTTGGCGACCCTGGCCCGCGCCGCGGAGGGGGTGGGGAGCGGGCAGCGCGCCGCGGCGGGGAGGGGGAGGATTAGGCCCGCCTCCGCCGCTCAGGCCGCCCCCGCAGCGGGAGGCGGGGAGCTCGTGGGCACCGCCCCCCGCCCTCCGCCCCCCGCCGAGCCTCCTCGCGAGCGCCCCCTGGCGCCTCGCGCGGCGGGGGTTCCGGGGGTGCGGCGGGAAAGGGCGGGGAGCGACCGGGAGCGGCGGGGTCCGGCGTCGCCCTTGCGGACCCTGGGGACCCTCGGGCGCCCTCCGCCGTGGGGGAGGGGTCGCCAGCGCGCGCGCCCCGGAGCTGGGGCGGCCCCTCCCTCCCGACGCCCCTCGCCCGGCCCCGCCCCCGGCCCCGCCCCCGGCCACAGCCCCCAGCCCCGCCCGCGGCTCACTCCGAAGTTTCCTGCGCCGCGCGCGGACACGCTCTTCGCTTGCTCGCCGCCCCGCGCCCCCGGCCCGCGCCCCCCGCGCCCTCCGACCCCGGCGTGTGCTCCCAGCGGCCCCCCTCCGCGCTGCCGCCGCCGCCGCTGCCGCCGGGCCAGCCGGAGCCGCAGCCGGAGCGGTCGTGGGAGCCGGAGCCGGCGGGCCGGGGGCGGCGCGCTCCAGCCGGGGCCGAGCGCCGTGCCGGGGCCGCGGTGACCGCGCCGCCCGGGCGATGCCCGCGGGGACGCCGCCGGCCGCCGGAGCGAGGTGAGACGCGGCGGGGACGCGCGCTCCACTGCGCGCCGGGACCCTCTTCAACTTAGCGGAGCCAGCGGGGAGCCCCTCGGGCCCCCGCCTCCGCCCCGGCGGTGGGGGATGGGCCGCCCAGCCCTCGCGGAGGGAGGGGGCGGGCGGGGGCGGGGGGCGCGTGTGTCTCTAATAAGGAAAGACAAAGACATCGTGGCGGCCGCGGCTGTTCCCGCAGCTCGGCGGCGCCCGCGACGGGCGGGGTGTGTCGTTCCGAGTCCCGGTCACCGCCTGTCCCCCGCAGGTGCTGCCCGCCGCCACCATGACCGAGGGCGCGCTGGCGGCCGACGAGGTCCAAGTGGCCCTGGGCGCGCCGGCCCCCGGCCCTGCAGCGGCGGCGGCGGGGGCGGCCCCGGAGAGCCCTGGGGCGCCGGGGCGAGCGACGGAGCAGGGGTCCGGGCCCAGCGCGTCGCTCCCCGAGAGCCCGGCGGCCGAGCGCGGCGCGGAGCTGGGCGCCGACGAGGAGCAGCCCGTCCCGTACCCGGCGCTGGCGGCCACCGTCTTCTTCTGCCTCGGGCAGACCACGCGGCCGCGCAGCTGGTGTCTCCGGCTGGTCTGTAACCCATATCCTTGCCAGGTTGCTAGGGTCCGGGGCGTGGGATCCCCTCGAGGAGGCTCCCGCATGCCCAGGCTCGTTGGACCCGGTGCCGGCCCGGCGCGCGGGGGACGCGAGGGCAGCGCTCCTCTCAGAGAGGTGGACCGGAGCCGCGTTTTGGGGGGCAGCGGGGTCCCGGCCCGCTCGGGACGGGAGAGCGTGGAAGAGATGCGGTGAGGCCACCGCGCGGGCCTGGAGGGGAGAGCGGCGGGCAGAGGAGGGGAGGGAGGTCGGAACTCCCCGGCTGGAGTGCGCCCCCCGGGTGGCGGCCAGGACGGGGATTCTCTCCTCCGGGCTCGCGGACAGTGCGGCTGAAGCAGGACCCTAGCTGGGGAGGGGAAGATCGGAAGGAGTAGAGGCGGGGGAGGAAAGTTTTTGACCCGTGCCTTGCGCGTGGGAGCGCCGCGGGGGACCCGTGGGGGCCGGGAGCCGAGCGTTCCCCGTCCTTTTCCTCTGAGAGGCGGTGACGTTGGTTGTGAACTCGCCTCTCCAGGCTGAACTCTGTGCCGGGGCTGATGTAAGTCATGCGCAGCTGGGGTTGGGGGGCAGGGAGGCTGCTGGCACCGTGCTCTGGAGTCCCTTCTCCCCGGGCTTTTGCTGGCCCCAGAGGAAGGGGCCTCCTTTCTGCTCCTGGCAGGAGCTGCAGACTTTCAGAGAAGGTTCCGGAGCAGGGCTTGCGTGAGGCAGGGGCAGCTATGGGATGCAGGTAGCGGGCCTGGGGGTGCCCAGCAGGTGGCTTTTGAGGACCGTCTCCCCCCACTGGCCCTTGAAGCTGCTTGCCCTTCTGCCGCGTCCCCTGGAGGGATTGGAGTGGTGGACAGACTGCCCGGTGCTGGGGGGCTGAGAGGAGCAGGGTGGGACCCGCAGATAAACTTCGCCTGTCGGAGTTAAGGGCGCAGGCAGAGGCGAAATGAGCAGTGAGTGTATATATTTCCCCCACCTTGTGTGTTTAACTGTATAAATATTAAATACAAAAGAGGAATCTGTACCAAAAAAAGTAATGAAATCTGTGTTTCTTTTTTCTCAAATCCAAACATCGGCTGAGTCAGGTTTGCCTTCCGGTCATGGCTGTGGCCGGCAGCCTGCCTGGGGCAGCCTGTCCCGAGGGTGGGCGTCCGGTGTCGGGGCTGGACTCCTGACCTGCAGGGTGGCTGTAGGCGCCTCTTCCTTCCAGAACCCAGCCTGGAGATAGCCAGGCCACCACATCTGGGCAGGAAGGCGGAGTGGCCAGGTTTGGTGGGCACTGGGCCTTGTCCAGAGGACGAAGACCAGCTCTCCCTGTGTCATTCCAAGCATGTGCAGGATGGGGCGGGGGGCACCAAGTGGGGCCTACACTTCCTTCTGATTGCCCCTGTGCCTGGCTCCTCCATCCCTTGTGGCAGGGGAGTCTGCGCCCTGACCCAGCATTCATTCGTGTTCGGGGCGTTCCGGGGGTTCCTGTGGGCTGCGTCCCTGAAGATGTCGGACAAGGTTGTGTCACTTGGCACAGGGAGGTGGGGGCAGGGCGCCTTGTACTGGTGGGAGACCTAGAGGGACCCGGAGGGTAGGGATGGCAGGGCCATGTGCCGGGCCCCTGTCCGGCCTCCCTTGCTGCAGAGGAGTGCCCTTGGCCCCAGGAGCAGGAAGGTACTCTCCGCCAGGGGAGAGCTGTCCCCTCTGAGTGGCAGCAGGGTGGGGGAGCTCAGATCCCAGGATAATTTTACTCCATTCTTGTGGAAATCCCGCATCTGTCGAGCGGGGTGGGCTCCGTGGGGCCTCTCGCCCTGTGGGGATGGTTGCTGACCTCAGACAGATGCCAGGCTGTGCTTCAGGGAGCTAAAATAAGCTGGCACACCCAGACAGGTGGGGAGCGGCCGCCTCGGGGAAGCCTGAAGGGCCTCAGCACAGGTCTCCCAGAGCCCTCCGGATTCCAGAGTCGAGCCGTGCAGCTTTATGTGAGGCTGGACATGTGGGTGGCCGTGGTTTTCCAGGGACCAAGGGGAATCCTGCAGCCCTGGAGTGCTCTCCCCCTGCAGGTGGGCGTCGGGTGGGCAGCACCCGCTGTCCTCCCCAGAGGCTCCCCTGCTGCCGGGCTAACCTCAGAGAGGGAAGTAGGACATGTGGGTCGGCTCTGGTAACCCGCACTCTATGAGGCGGCTTCCCGCTCCCCGCAGGCTGGCAGAGTCCCAGTGATGTCTCTGGAGCCCAGCCCCGTGTCAGGGTTCCTCCGGCAGTCAATCATAGGAAGGGGCCTTCCTTAAGGCCCTGACCTCCTGGGAACCCGCCCTCCCCCCCGTGGGTGCCCGAGCACAGGAGCGTGCACCATCCATCCTTGCCATAAGGGAGACCCCAACCCACAGTGAAGGAGCCTCCAAGGACGGCCCTTGTCCTTATTGATTTAGTTTGCTTTTTGAAAATATAATTGTACTGGAACTTCGGGGCGATGCTGTGTCTCCTACATGGGTTTATTTATAGAGGAAGGTGGGTGGGATCTGTGTGTTGTAGCCCGAGAGGCTGGGTTATGTTCTGCCCAGCCTCCCCCGGGGTTCCTGACTCGGCATTTGCTTGCAGTGCAGCTGCCACGTCCCAGCACCCAAGCCAGGTGGGGGTCTCCCGGGGCGCTTGCGTCTGGGATGGGGGCCCTGCTGCCGTCTCCTTGGAGGCTGCTTGTAGCCCGCCAGGGTGTTTAGGGACTAGAAGGTGGTTGAGGGGCACTTGGGGGCTCAGGGATGAGGGCAACTCCAGGAGGTGGTTCCCAGGGGCTGGGCACTGAATGCCCTTCAGCATAGGGCTTGGAGCATCCAGAGGACATGCCAAGGTCATGCGGTTGTGGAGGGCAGAGCTGGGTGAGCCAGCCTGACTCTCAGGCCCATGTGTTTGGCAGGACCAGGCAGAAGATGTGACGTTGGACGAGGCCAAGTCGTTACAGGCATCATGTAAAAACTGATGCTCCAGGCGGTTGCACCTCTCCAAGGTTGCTGCTAGTGCTTGGGGCTCAGGGTAGGTGTGGGGGTCCCTGGTGAAGGTCTGGGAAGGGCAGGCCCCTGCCTCCCTGCGCCCCTCAGCCCCCTCGATCCGACGTGAATGGGGTGGCTGCCTTCCTGGTGCCTGTGCTCTGACCCCTCCGAGAACTCTGCCACGTGCTCAGGGCTTTCTGTACCTGCAGGAATCCAAGTCTGTGGGCGCTGTCACCACACCCAGAACCGTGTCCCCAGCCCTGGGCCCCACTTCTCCTGGTGCCACTTCTCTGGACACCCCCCCCCCCGGTCAGTCCCTAAGCTGGCCACTTGAGGGGAGCCCATGAGGTGCTGGTGAGCAGGCAGTGGGTGGGCCTGGGGCTGGCGGGTGGGAAGGCCATCCTACCCTCACTAGAGTCTCAGGACAGGGACTAGAGGGGTTGTGCCCAGATGGGACCTTGCCCTCTGGGCCGGCTGGGGCACAGTGTGGCTGCTCGGGGGGCCCTGGCCGCTCCCTCCTGCAGGCAGCCTCCTTGCTCTGAGTCTGAGGATGAGAGCACCCTGATCTCCTCCAACAGAGGAAGAAGGGGAAAGCCCTCCACAGCCACCTCGCCCTCCGGGAGCACACACACTGAGCACTGGGTCCCCAGACTCAGGGACTGCGGAGAAGGTGTGCAAGTCAAGTCACCCCGGTTGAGTTGGGTGCATGGTGGGGCCTTCCTTGGGAGGGGCATTGCCCCTGAGAGCTGGGGAGGGCAACAGCAGAGAGGCCCATCTCTGAGCACCTGCAGAAGGTGGGGTGGGCCAGCTCAGTATCTGGGTGGCTGCTCCTCAAGGAGCTGGTAGAGGGGCCTCTGGACACAGGCCTGGGCTTCTGCTGGCTGTTGAATGAAAGCCAGGCTGTGATGTGTCATCCTCCTGGGTCCTATGGAGCACAGTGGGGCTGCTCCGGAGGGCTTCCTGGAGGAGGTGAGGTTGGGATGGGCCACGTGGATGGGCAGGAGCTGGTGATGGAGAAGGAACAGGAAGGCTTACTGGGTCTCTACCTGGTTCTGCTTCTGACAAGAGGTTAGAAAGGCGTGATCACTGGGAGCCCCACCCCTGGTCAGAAGTCCAGGTCCACGTCCATCTTGGCCCTGGAGGTGGGTGGGGTGTGGGAGGGGATGTCAGTACGATCTGGGGTTTGCCTGCCTGGGAGATACCAGGCTGTGTCCCTGTCACTTTTATGCTTTGGGATTGCCCAGGAAAGGTTCTGGCTGAGACCCCGTTCTCTCCAGAATGGCTTTGCAATGGGCCAGGCGGCAGAATTGGCCAGGAGCCTGGGGGACTCCAGCTTGGTGGGCTCGAGGAGCTTCGGGGGGTGGGCATGGAACAGGAGCAGCCCAGGCAGAGGAGTGGCGTGTGCTGCGGTCCGAGGGCGTCAGCGTCCGTGCCCCTGGAGCCCCGGGAGGGGGCTGGGAGCTGGAGGGGGCCGTGGGGCTTGGGGAGGGAGGCTGGGAGAGGCCTGTGAACACTGGGGGTGGGGTCACAGGCTGGCCTGGGGGCTCGGCGAGTGGGTCTGCCTCCCGCTGGTGGGCCCAGCTTGTGGACCTGGTGGGCATCGTTAGGGCCACCCAAAGCCGTCTGGCAGAGGGAGGCCAGGGCCCCCGAGCCTTCCTGTGGCGCAGCAGGCGAGAGGCCGGCCCCTGGGGCTGCTGGTGAGACTCCATCCCGGTCAGGATGTGAAGGAATGTGGGGGATGGGCGGACCTGTCAAGCACCCCAGGGATGACTCCGAGGCAGCCTGGCTCCAGCCCGCAGTCCAAACCCTCCTGAGCCGTCAAGGTCAGGCGGGAGGTATGTAGCCTTGATTGATGCCTGTGTCCCCACCCCCGTGCATATGGAGCCTTGCTGGGAAGGGGCCGCAGCCGTCCAGCTGCGTGAGAAATACTTTTTCTTTCTGCTCCTCGCAAGTGGGTATTTAACTCAGTGGCCACAGAAGCCCAATTACTCTGTCCTCTCCTCAGTGGTTAATTTTGACACAGCTGGGAGTGA